TGTGATCAATTTTATGTAATTTTAATACTAGATGAGAGATGAAATGGGTCTAGTTTCATTTTTCTGTAAATGGAAGGTCAATTTACTCAGCACCATTTAGTAAGGAGGGAAGACTTTCTTCCACATGGATTTTTTGCTCTTTTCAGCCAGCTGAAAGTAAATGGAGTTGTTTCTGTGTCTTTTGTTCTATTCTATTGGTCTATATGTCTATCTTTGTGCCAGTACCATGCTGTTCTTGTTACAATAGCTTTGTAGTAACACTTGAAATTCCAAGTTATGATGCTTCCTGCTTTGATCTTGTCTCTCAGGATTGCTTTGGCTATCTTGGGGTTGGTTCTGTATAAAATTTTTAAGATTGTTTTTTCTGGTCCTGTGAATAATGTTGTTGGTATTGTAATAGAAATGATATTAAATCTATAGACTGCTTTTGGTAATATGGTCATTTTAACAATATTAATTTTTCTCTCCAGGAATAGGAGATTTTTTCCTCTTCCTAATATCCTCTTAAATCTCTCATTCTTGAAAGTACTGTAGTTTTTGTTATAGAAGTATAGAGAAATAGAGGTCTGTAGGCAGGGAGAGATGAGGGGACTCCCCTACCCCCACTGAAAGGGTTCAGATAGCTGGCAGAACAGACTTAAGCACTGTGAAAAGCTAACAGTCTGTGGTTGCACCTTCTCTTCATGCTGTACCCTGCGAAGCTTGGTTTGCTAAGATCAAAAGGAAAAAATAACGTTTGCCCTAAAATGTAAAAGGCCCCCACAAGACCCTTCCCTTTTGTCCCTAGTAATGAGCTACGGTAATCATTAACCAATCAAGTAGGGGCACCCTCAGCCCAGAGACAAAATAGGTCCCCCAAATAAAATAGTATATTGAGTGCCCCTTCAGTGGTGGCTCCGTTTGGGGCACCCCACCTGTCTCTGAGAGGAGGCAGCTGTACTCTGGCATGCTTGCTGAATAAAAGTACAACTTTGCTCCTCTGTTTGGGGTCTCTATCTGATTCTTCCACAACCTTCTGCATCATTGGGAGAGTCAAGCCTAGGGCTGTGGGCGCTCTCCACCTGTCTCTGCCCTCGACAGAAGTTTTTTCACATCCCTGGCTACATCAGTTCTCTGTATTTACATTTTTTGAAGCATTTCTGAAAGGAATTGCTGTCCTGATTGACTTGTATGCGTTGATTTTATATCTTACCATTTTTCTGAGTTTTTCATTAGCTCTAAGTGTCCTCTGGTGAAGTCTTATGGGTCTTCTCTGAAAAAATAAATCTGAATACAGAGATAGTTTGACTTCTTCCTTTCCAGTTCATATCCCTTTTCTTTCTTTTCTCCTGCCTGATTGCTCTGGCTAAAATTTTAAGTTCTATATAGTTATGAAATGGTGAGAGTGAACATGACTCATTTCTGATTTTAGAGGGAATCTCTTCAGGTTTTCCTATTTGTTGTAATGTTGGCTGTGCTTCTGTCATAAATGGCTATTACCAGTTTGAGGTAAGGACCTTCTAGACCTGCAGGGTTTATCAGGAAGGGATGTTGGATTTTGTTAGAGGCTTTTTTGCATCTATCGTGATGATCGTGTGGTTTTTTTTCTGTTTACTCTGTATATATAGTGACTACATTGATTAATTTACATGCCGTAACCATCCTTGAATTGCTGGGAAAAGGCCTATGATGATGTATGATCTTTTTAATTTGTTGCATTTTATTCACAAGTATCTCATAAGGAGTTTTGCATCTATGTTCATTAAGGAAACTGGTGTGTATGTTTTTCTTTTGTTTTACCCCTGACCTGTTTTGGTATGGGGAGTGTTGGCTTTCAGGAATGAGTTATATGCACTTCTTCCCTTGCAAATTCTTCTTTTTTCCCAATTCCTGCCCCTTGGGCCCCCTCTTCCCTTCTTGTTTACAAAAGCTTTGTTTCCATTTTCCCTTCACTTCTCTTTTTTTTCTTATCCCTTATTTTCTTTTCTTCTTCGCTGCCCTTGTTCCCCTTCTCATTTCAACATTTTCTTCCCATTTTCCAATATCTAGTACTCATTTTGTTTCTTATTCCCACTTTTGGTGTCTAACACCAGAGTAAAAATGTAATTAAAGCATGTGTGTCCTGTTTATTTCACTTGAGTATATTTTCAAGACGTATCCATTTAGGTAGAAATGTCTCAAGCTTATTCTTCTTTATGCCAGAACATTACTCCACTGTGTAATAAAACCCCACATCTTTATTCGTCAGTTGATGGGCATTTGGGCTGCTTCTAGATTTAGCTATTATAATTTGTGCTGCTATAAACATGGGTGTGGATATATCACTATGGCACGATGCTTTCAGTTTTATCAGGAAAATACCAAAGAGGGGAATAGGAGGTCAAATGGAACCTCTAGTTGTAGTTTTCTTAGGAATCTCCACGCTGATTTTCACAATGATTGCACCAGTCTACACTCCCACCAACAGTACAGGAGGGTTCCTTTTTCCGCACAGCCTCATCAGCATTTATTGTCGGTTGATTTCTTTGTAGCAGTCATTCTTTCTGGAGTGAGATGGAATTTCATCGTTGTTTTAATTTGTGTCTCTTTAATATTTTTTCATATATTTATTTGCTCTTTGTACTTCTTTTTCTGAGAAGTCTCCATTCGTTTCAGATCCCATTTGTCGACTGGGTCTTTAGATTTGGGAGGTCTTTTTTTTTTTTTTTTTTTTTTTTTTTTTTTTTTATTTTTAATATTTTATTCTTTTTAAAGAA